ATATTATTTATAACTGTAAAGAGCCACCAAAAAAGGTAATATACTAGATTTTGTTTAGTAACAATTTAAAATGAAAACATACCAGAATGCAGCAGCCAAGCAAGATGCTTTGGGCCTGGACTCTGGTGATATGATATTGAATGTACCAGCATTCCAGCTCCAATCATGGCTGCAAAGGTCGCACCGATTGTCTGAAAGACACATACCACTATGAAAAAATTGATCCTTATACAATTAAAATGGAAACTAAGAAGTTCCAAGTATAATTAATTATTTCTAATAAATCAGGTTTAAAAAAGGTGAACAATAAATTGGATCCTGTATCTTTAACATTAAAGGCCTTGAATTTATTCTAAATTTGAAGTTCTGACTGAGTTAACAAGAGAGTCCTTTTTCACCATAATAAAAAGTTTTTCAGGCAACTTCAAGCGCATGAGTTGAGCTTGGACAGACACTATCATCTTTTAAAAACTTTATTTTTATTGGACATGTAATAAAACTCCTTTAAGAATCCCAGAAACATTACTGTTAATTTTAACATATGTTTTGGTACAGCACTAACAGCCTTTTTTTGAAAACCAGTCAGGGTCTACTAATTAGAAGAGACATTTATGTCTAGAGAGAGAAAAGGAGCTGTGGTAGTGCAATGGTTAACTCCTCAGCTGCTAACCAAAAGGTTGGTGGTATGAACTTACCAGTAGCTCTACGGGAGAAAAGACCTGGAGATTCACTCCCATAAAGCTTAAAGACTAGGAAACCCTATGTGGCAGCAGTTCTACTCTGTCCTATACGGTCACTATGAGTTGGAATTGACTTAATGAGAAAGACCATGCACACAGTGCTTAAAATGTTGTATCTGCTAAATGACCTTAAAATAAAAGGTCAACATAAACTTACAGCACATGGAAACGATAAAACAGTAAGATACTATGTTTCTATCCTTCCAGTTTTATGGCTGACTGGGTCCTCATTCCTGTCCTTTCCCTATCTTTTATTTCCATTGTTAAAACATTTAAATATTCCTGTGTGTAATACTTTAATTCTTGGGGAAAAAAAGGTAATCATAATCAATCTTCAGAAAATTTAAAGCAGAGATTGCAAACTTGCAGCTCTTGGACAGAATAAGGCAACAAATAGGTCTTCTCTGGCCAACTCATAAAAAAATAATATAATATGGATGTTTTTAGTTGAAGCAGGCTTTCCAATAGCATAGCTTTTTTGCTGCAAATGGGAAAGCTTTCACTCATATTAATAAAGAAAAGCACACTGGGTTCTTCTACACCATTTTCCAGTGGAGAAACAATTACTAAAAACTACTTCAACTATCTGCTGTGCACAGCATTTTCAGCATATGTGTTGCAATTGTATTTTTATCCCTAGTGCCCTTTATGATCTAGTCTCATTTTTTTTGCTCCGAATCTTTCCATAGTCTACATTCCAGCTGTACAGAACTGGTAGAGCCATAAACATATCCTAAAGTTCCACGCTTCCTTAATTTTGTGCCTAAGAATACCTCTTTCTCATCTGGTTGATGTACTCAAGCATTACCTTCTCATTTTGGAAGTTTCTTCTGGTAATTACCCCTGCTGCCAACAAGCCCACAAGCAGATGCCGCTCTCTTTCAAAATCATGTGGGATAAACCTCTGACATAATCTGTGTATATGTCTGTCATCCCAAAAAGGCAACATTTTTATCTCTACAGTACCCATCATTGGCTTTCCAAACTTTAATTGTTCCTAACAGCAGAGGAGAGCAATCTTATGCCCAGTGGGAATTGAGAGCATGGCCCAAGCATAAAATTTACTTGAAGTCTTATATTAGGAATTCAAATTTTATGTACACTTTAATATTTCATAACATAGCCATATGTTTTCTTATAAAAACATTATTTAAAATTGTCTTTAAACAAAACAAAAGGAGCTCTGGTACGTAGTGCCTAAGGCATTTGACTGCTAATCAGAAAGGCTTCAAACCTGCCAGCCACTCTTCAGAAGGTTGGGCAATCTACTTCCATAGTGATACCGCCTCAGAAACCCAAGGAAGGGCGCTGTGAGTTGGGTCTGACTTGATGGCAGTGTGTTTGGTTTTGCTTTTGTTAAATAAAACATTTCTGGTGAGAACACATCATTATTCTGTGGCTTCGTAAACCTCTAAGCTAGGAAGTCCAGTAGCAACCAAGTGAAATGCATTATGTTAAGAATACCTAAGTGTCCAAACAACTATGTTTCTATAACTAGTTCCCCTTTTGCAAAGTATAGCAGAGCAGAAACAAAATGGATGTGGAAGTTAGGAGGATTTTGGTTACCTATGAGAATAATCAGTTTGCTGTGGGAAATCTCAGTATTATATAAACTTTCCCATTTCTCCTTCCCTCTAGTCACACTTATGGCTCCAGTTCAGGTTTCCATTATACCCTCATTTCAGATTTTTCAAAAGTACAGCTGCTATCTTTGCTTCTTATCTCTTCAACATTAGTTCTTAAAACTCACACACAAATTGTATTTTTGCTTTTCCAATTACCTTCAGTGGCTCTTCTGCTTAGGTAATCTCCTCAGTTTGGTATCCAAACACTTCCTTATAATTGTGTCCTTCATAGTCTACTTTTCGAGCACAAACTTCACCCTAGCAGGATTTCAAGTCACTTTTAAAATTAGGGTTTTCTACTTGATCTTCACCAGCTGTCTGTCAGTTTGTTATACTGTGGTGGCTTGCATGTTGCTATCAAGTTGGAAGCTCTGCCACTGGTATTTCAAATACCAACAGGGTCACCCATGGACAGGTTTCAGTGGACCTTTCCAGACTAAGACAGATGAGGATGATGGATGTGGCCCACTCCAAGAAATTGGCCACTGAAAACCAACTGAATAAAACAAGGAAATCACTGAATAGAAAGGAAAGACTGTCTAATATAGTGCCAGAAGATGAGCCCTTTTGATTGGAAGGCACTCAAAAGATGACTGAGGAAGAGCTGCCTCCTCAAAGTAGTCAATCTTAATGACATGGATGGAGTAAAGCTTTCAGGACTTTCATTTGCTGATGGGACACAACTAAAGTGGGAAGAAATAGCTGTAAACATTCGTTAATAAGTGGAACATGGAATGTATGAAGAACCCATCTAAGAAAATTGGAAGTTGTGAAAAATAAAATGGAATGCATAAAGATCAATATAATATCCTAGGTATCAGTGAGCTGAAATGGACAATCATATGGACTACTATGTCAGGAATGACAAACTGAAGAGGAATGGTGTTGCATTCACTGTCAAAAAGAACATTTCAAGATCTATCCTGAAGTACATTGTTGCCAATGATAGGATAATACCCATACTTTTACAAGGAAGTCCAGTTAATATGAATCAAATCGACTACATCTGTGGAAAGACATGATAGAGAAACTAAGTATCAGAACCCAGAAGGAGGTCAGGGGCTGACTGTGGAACAAACCAATTGCTCCTATGCAAGTTTAAGGTGAAGCTGAAGACAACTAAAGCAAGTCCATGAGAGCCAAAATACAACCTTGTGGGATGACGTCAAAGACATCAGGAACTCTGATGGTGCAATGCCTAAAGCATATGGCTGCTAACCAGAAGGCTGGCGGTTCAAACCCACCAACCACTCCTCAGAAGGAAGGTTGGGCAATCTACTTTTGTAGTGAAACCACCTAGGAAACCCAAGGAGGGGTTGCAATTAGTCAGATCCGGCTCGACGGCAGTGAGTTTTTTTTTTTTAATCAAAGACATCATACACGAAAAAATCAAAATGTCATTAAGAACACAGTAAAGAAAAGACCAAAAGGAATGCGCGAAGAGACTCTGAAACTTGCTTTTGAATGGACAGTAGCTAAAGCTAACGGGGGAAATAATGAAGTAAAAAGTCTGAACAGAAGATTTCAAAGGGCAACTCAAGAAGACAAAGTAAAGTATTCTAATGAAATAAGCAAAGACCTGGAGTGAGAATATCAAAAAGGAAGAACACACTTGGCATTTCTCAAGCTCAAAGAACTGGGAAAAAAAAAAAAATTCAAGCTGAGTTGCAATATTGAGGGATTCTATGGGCAAAATAATGAACGATGCAGAAAGCAACAAAACTAGATGGAAGGAATACAGTCACTGTACCAAAAACGGGAACTCTGGCAGCATAGTGCCTAAGGCATTTGACTGCTAACCAGAAGGCTGGTGGTTCAAACCCACCAGCCACTCCTTGGAAGGGAAACTGGGCCATCTACTTCCATAGAGATACTGCCTCGGAAACGCAAGGAAGGGACGCTATGAGTTAGATCTGACTTGATGGCAGTGAGCTTGGTTGTTTTTTTTTGGTGGTACCAAAAAGAAATGGTCGTTGGTTTATCACTTCAGGCAGTAGCATATGATCAAGAACCAATGCTACCGAAGGAAGAAATCCAACCTGCACTGAAGGAACTAGCAAAAAACAAAGCTTGAGAAACTGATGGAATACCCATTGAGTTATTTCATCAAACAAATGCAGTCCTGGACGTAATGTTCATTTATGTCAAGAAATTTAGAAGACAGCTACCTGGCCAACTGACTGGAAGAGATCCAGGTCTGTGCCCATTCTAATGAAAAATGATCCAAAAGAATGTGGAAATTATCGAACAATATCATCAATATCACATGCAAATAAAATTATGTTGAAAATAATTCAAAAACAGTTACAGCAGTGTATTGACAGGGAACTGCCAGAAATTCAAGCTGAATTCAGAAGAGAGCATAGAATAAAGGTATCATTGCTGATGTCAGATGGATCGTAGCTGAAAAGCAAATAAAACATGTCTACCCATGCTTTATCGATTATGCAAAGGTATTCAGCTGTGTGGATCCTAACAAATTACAGATAACACTGCAAAAAATGGGAATTCCAGACCACTTAATTGTGCTCATGAGGAACCTGTAGATAGACCAACAGGTAGCTGTTCCAACACCAACAGAACAAAATGATACTGCATGATTTAAAATCAGAAGGTGTGTGTCAGGGTTGTGTCCTTTCACCATACTTGTTCAATCTGAACAGTGAGCAAATCTGAGAAGCTGCACTATATGAAGAATGTGGCATCAGGATTGCAGGAAGACTCACTAACAACGTGTGATACGCAGATGACACAATCCTGCTTGCTGAAAGTAAAGATGATTTGAAGCATATACTGATGAAGGTGAAGGACCACTGTCTGCAGTATGGATCATACCTTAATATAAAGAAAACAAAAGTCCTCACAACTGGGCCAATAAGCAACATGATGATAAATGGAGAAAAGACTGAAGCTTTCAAACATTTTATTTTACTTGGATCCACAACCAGTGCCCAAGGAAGCAGCAGTCAAGAAATCAAGTGGCTTATTTCACTGGGCAAATGTGGTGCAGTAAGAACTCTTTGAAGTGCTATAGAGCAAAGATGTCACTTTGAAGGCTAAGGTGTACCTTACCCAAGCCACTATCTTTTCAATAGCTTCATGTGCACATGAGAGCTATGCAATGAAAAAGGAAGACTGCAGAAGAACTGACACATCTGAATTATAATGCTGGCAAAGAATCCTGAATATACTATGGACTGCTAGAAGAATGAACAAACCTGTCCTGGAAGAAGTACGGCCAGAATGTTCCTTGGAAGTGAGAATGGCCAGACTTCATCTCTCATACTCTGGTCATGTTATCAGGAGGAAGAAGGATCTCGTGCTTGGTAAAGTAGCAGATCAGTAAGAAAGGGGAAGACCCTCAACAAGATGGATTGACACAGTGGCTCCCACAATGGGTATAAGCATGGGAATGATTGTGAGGATGGGACAGGACCACGCAGTCTTTTGTTTTGTTGTACACAGGGTTGCTGAGTTCGAACCGACTTGAGAGAACCTAACAACTTCTCTTTTGCTCAAGGTGCTTTGTAAACTTGGACTGTCCTTTCCTTAAGTGAAAAAACACATGCCTTCAGTCACCCTAACAAAATAAGTATCTCCTTTATGCATCTTCCCCAATAGTTCAACTGATAAGTATTTTCTACTTCTTACTGCACGTCCTTTACTACTTACTCCAGTTCATCCCTTCTATCAGATGTAGAAAAACAGGCACCACATCTAAAACTACTTTTGGTACTTAGCAAAATAAGTGCTCAAGAAATACTCACTACTGCATGTAAAACTGTAAAAAAGGTCCAGATGCTCAGGACTAACAGTGGTAGAACTATCCCTACTTTTAAAAGTGTAGAATCTTGATATTTTTTTGATTTTCCACTGACCTCTAAGATGATTTTGCCTTTATCTTACTTTCAGTAAGTTGTTATGAAATAGAGGATTGGTATCTACTGCTAGAAAAGCAGAAATGTCACTGTAAATTTGATTTCCAACCTCTTTTGCACTATTAAAACAAATATTCAACAAAGAATAATACATGGCTTACTTCTGAACATACTTCTTATTTTGTCCTAGTTGCACTAATAATTCATCTATTATTCAAATAAAAGTTTTTCAATGTTATTTTTTCTATTTAATCTCTCAGCCTCCAGTGTTGTTTTTTTCCTCTTTGGAACTTTACATGGAAAAGGAAAATAAAAACAAGCTGACTTACCACCCAAGAGGCTCTCATTATGAAGTTCATGAGAACAGGAGTTCTAGTCACTGCCAATGCAGACAAAGCTGTTAAACCAATACTTCCTGCTAGGTACATGTAAGTAGAATGGATTCTGTCCTTCACATATTGAGGCCAAATTCTGTAAGAAATATGACATGTTAAGTAACAGGATATGTATTCTAGCTGAATCATTTACCAGTTGGGCAACCTTGGGATAAATCGCTTTATTGCTTTAAGTCTTATTCATCTCATTTACCCTGGAACTAATTAGGTATACCTTCATGTTACTGTAAAAGTGCAATGAGATAAAACCAACCAACCATTGCCATGGAGTCGGACCCGACCCACAGCGACCCGTCCTTGGGTTTCCGAGGCAGTATCACTACGGAAGTAGATTGCCCAACCTTCCTTCCAGGGAGTGGCTGGTGGATTTGAACCACCAGCCTTCTGGTTAGCAGTCAAGTGCCGTAGGCACTATGCTACCAGAGCTCCCGCAATGAGATAAAGCATACAAATATATGCTTGGCATATATATAAAAATGCTTGGCAAATATAAAAAACAACACATTGTTTCCCTGCTTAAGCACATATAACCTGGATGAAAGTACATTTTTACTTAGGTTTGAATAAATACATGTCAAATAAATTAAGAAAATTCTGTATTTATCCATATATATTTCCACATAGTTGAGACTAGACAAATTATTCCAAAAGTGGCTAAAGAGAAGATGGAAAAAAAAAAATTAGAACCTTAATGGCATGAATTGTTTGGAAACAATTTACTTACACAGCCTTTTCAATAGCTCCAATCTCATTAGACATTCCTAAGCCATAGTAGCACAACGCTCCAAGACCAACAGCAGCCCCTCCAGCAACAAACCATCTTCCCATCTGATCAACTGCAGAACAAAGGAGAAAATACAGGTAATACTGTCATGTGTTGATCACAATGAAGTTGTGATGGTAAGTCTTTCACATTTATATGAGGGCAATCAAACCATATACTACTTTTTAATAACAGTCATAATTAGTACATATGGGCATACAGAAATGTCCTAAAAGATTAGAGGCTCAGTAGGAGAGGACACCCTTGAAACAAAGGTACAATAATCAGTACAAAAAGGATCAGAATGAATTGATTAAAACCTTCAGTGTCACTCCAAGAGATCTGTGGGGGCAGTTCACGTGCAGCTATGGATACTTTCGTGATATACCTTTTAAGTAAGAGGTTCGAGTATGTTTTCATGATATTCTAAGACGAGAAAAAAATAGTTAAGTCATACTACACTGTGTCTACAGTGCTATTAACAAATATGATGCTTTACATGGGGTCAAAAAAAGAGGAATCAAAGAAGAAAAAGTAATGAATGTTTATGTAGCAGAATCAAGGGAAGTGTTGTTTTAGAGTACTGAGAGACATTTCACTTACCACCTCTAACTTGATGGCATTCAGAAATAGTAACTTACTTCCTTTTAGTCTAATTCTATTCACATGTTAATATGCTATCATTACATAATTAATATAATTTGATCTCTAGGGTCAACTATCTAATCGGAAGGAAATGCTGAGGAATACTGATTAGGGCTCTTTCCCTCTGTGATACATTGACATTTTGCAAGGTTAAGGAACAGAAGTGTTCTTTGGGTAGCTTTGTGTTGGTTGTAAACCTCTAGTTTCTGAACTTGCAAAGCAAAAATCCAAACTGAGCCAAACTGACTCCATTAAGGTATTCTCTCCTACAATGTCCTATATGGATAGCTAGTTAGAAATGCTTTCTTAAATAGTTAGGCTTTTATTAAGTTATGTTCTGGTGACTTACTCTTGACCTGCAACATAAATGAGTAAACCCACTCTTCAAATATTGGCATGGTTAGGTTCTAAAGACCAGGTTGTTATGTGAAAATTGAGGATTTATTTTCTGTTTTAAGACCATCAATTTGTCCCATTTTTAAAAAAATTTAGAACGTATTGTCATAGAAATAATAACTGCTAAGATTTATTGAAGTGCTTATCATTGTGACAAGTCCAGTTATGGATTATTCCTCTGTGGAGGCAGCCTGGAGGACATAGAGCTGTATAAAAGCAGGCTGTGTGACTGAATGACCTATAGCTTAACATTTCACCTTCCTCCTATGCTGGGTCAGTTTCCCCTGGGGAGTTGCTTCAAGGGGTCCACTCTCACCCCTGTAAGCCCTGCTTTCCCTCTGGGGCTGGTGAGTCACTGAGGCTGCAGGCTTCCTGGGAGCCTGGTGGTGTACCTGGCCCCACTGAGGCAGAAGCTTCTGCCCCAGTTTGGCTCACTTTGGGACATCATTAAATTCACATGCATTTCTTCCAAACACCCTTTCCAATGCTTCTTTCTTTCCTCCTTTCCCACTTCACTGCAATTCTGAGCTATAGGGCCTCAGGTAGCACAGAAGCTGGGAACCCAGAATAGGCACCTGCTGGTTCAGTGCTGCTTGTATTGGCACTGAGGCTATGGGCATGGAGGGAGTTCCTCCCTGGCAGGAGGGAGCAGAGGGCACTGGGCAGTGTGGTCCAGCTTCCCGGAGACCAATCTTGAGAAAGGGATGCTCGACAGCTGCTGCAACCATGCCCGCTGCCTCTTTAATGGGCAAAACAGTGAGACAGATTTTTACTACTGTTGTAGTAAACGTTCTGTGTAGAACGTCAGATGAGACAGTGAGGAGAAAGTATATTATATGATTGAACAAAGACTCTATACAACTTCAAATGAACTTCTTCATATTGCAATGGTGAAAATAAACTTTTCACTGGAGGAAGTATGACTGGGAACTACTGAACTCAGTGTAAAGAAACAATGTTTTGTAAGTGTCAGAGCCCTGAGAGTGATGAGAATTACAGCTTTTCTTCCTAGAAAACACATATATACATAGGTTTGTAAATATTTTTAGGAGGTTGTTCATAGACTTTACAAAGACTGGCACTTACTTTTAAATATTTTTCCCATTGATGGTTCCAATACCACCTCTTTGAGTTCTTGGCCAGTTTTCCCACGTCGGATCCCAATTCTTGTCTTGGTGGCATACTCCTGATATACATGTAAAGACACACGCCACCCACATCAAAACAGAGTATTATTAATAACATAAACTGAGGTTTTCTTTACACTAGAAAACTGTACCTGAAGAAATCTGGTACTTTTTACATATATAATCTCACTATAAAAGTACATTAGCCAAACTATAAAATTCAATGTAGACCTTATCTGTGCTCTATCTTAGAAGTGATTCACTAATTCATTATATACTTTTTAGCTTCTCTAAGTTTTAGATTACTTTTTATAAACTATAGATTTTATCTCTAGAGTTACTATGGTATTTTAAACCCTAACCAAATACCAAGATAAAACTTCCAATATTTTTAAATGTATTCAGTAAGTATTCAGTATTAGTTACATTTTGTCATCTAGGACATGGGCTCAAAACAGGCATCATTCCATAACACTAAGCCAAGGGGAGTGATTACTACTATATTATTTTAGCTCTTTTAAATTGTGATTTGAGTGAAAGTTTACAGAGCAAATTCACTTTCCATACAGCAGTTCACACATACGCTGTCTCATAACAGACTATAATTTACCACAATGCAATAGCTCCCCTTTCACTCCCTCCTGATAGTCACCTCTTCCCTGTATCCATCCCTCCATGTACTCCTGCCCCCTCAACTGCATCCCTGTGCATAAACAGCCCTTCTTTTTCCCATGATTGTTCTCTCCAAGGAGTGTAACTACCTCAAGTAAATGTTCAACTCATATGCCTGTCTTTTGTTTGGCTGGAAGCCACAGGTGTGGGTTCAATTCCAGAGCTGAAGGGCAGCTAGGGACCATAGTCTCAGTGGTTCCACCAGGCTGTATCAGACCAGCAAACCTAGTCCCTCTTTGTTTCCCCCACAAATGATTTTGAGTTTTGTTCCACATTGTTCTCCCTCTATCCAGGATCTCCTACATAGATCCCCCTCCAAGTGGTTGACAGTGGTCGCTGGGCACCATCTAGTTGTTCTGGTCTCATAGTTGTACAGGCTGAGGATCACATGATCCATGAATCTTTGGTTTTCTTCATTCTTCTTTGCGCTGTTTAGTTCTTTTTAACATTTGATTTGAGAGAGAAAAAGCTATCTCCTGCTAGCTTCTGTATATTCTCCTTATCTACCTGACATTTCAAAATGTACATCTCTTCTGATATAAATGCTACAAATTTACTGTGGAAGAAAAGCAGTTTTCCTCTAACTTGATTTAAAATAATATCACTAGTAATTTATTAATAAGCTATTGGCCAACTAGTAATATCTCTGGGTTCTTCTGACAATGTTGTGGTTGTTAGGTGCCATTGAGTCGGCTCTGACTCATAGTGACCCTATACGTACAACAAAATGAAACACTGCCTGGTCCTGTGCCAGCCTCACAATCCTTGCTACTCCTTAGCCCATTGTTGCAGCCACTGTGTCTATCCATCTTGTTGAGGGCCTTCCCCTTTTTCATTGACCCTCCACCCTACCAAGCATGATATCCTTCTCTAAGGAATTGTCCCTTCTGACAATATGACCAAAGTAGGTGAGACAAAGTCTGGACATTCTTGCTTCCAAGGAACATTCCAGCTGCATGTATTCCAGGACAGATTTGTTCGTTCTTTTGGCAGTCCATGGTACTTGCAGTATTCTTTGCCAACACCACAACTCAAAAGCATTAACTCTTCTTCGGTATTCCTCATTCATTGTCCAGCTTTCACATGCATATGAAGCTACTGAAAATACCATGGCTGAGGTTGGCACACCTTCATCTTCGAAGAGATATCCTTGCTCTTCAGCACTTTAAAGAGGTCTCTCAAGGCAGATTTGCCCAGTGCGTTATGTAGTCTGATTTCTTGACTGCTGCTTCCATTAGTGTTGATTGTGGAACCAAGCAATGTGCAATCTTTGACAACTTCAATCTTTTCTCCATTTATCATGAGGCTGCTTATTGGTCCCACTGTGAAGATTTTCATTTTCTTTAGGCTGACGTGTAACCTATACTGCAGACTGTAGTCTTTAGATTTCATCAGTAAGTACTTCAAGTCATTCTCTCTTTCAGCAAGCAAGGTTGTGTCATCTGCATATCGTAGGTTGTTAGTGAGTCTTCCTTCAATCCTGATGCTGTGTTCTTTTTCGTGTAGTCCAGCTTCTCAGATTATTTGCTCAGCATACAGATTGAATAAATATGGTGAAAGGATACAACCCTGACACACTCCCTTCCTGATTTTAAACCATGCAGTACTCCCTTGTTCTGTTCGAATGACAGCCTCTTGGTCTATATACAGATTCCTCATGAGCACAATTAAGTGTACTGGAATTCCCATTCTTCTCAATGTTATCCATAATTTGTTATGATCCACACAATCAAATGCCTTTGCATAGTCAATAAAACAAAACTAAACATCTTTGTGGTATTCTTTGCTTTGAGCCAAGATCCATCTGACATCAGCAATGATATCTCTCGTTCCACGTCCTCTTCTGAATCCAGCTTGCGTTTCTGGAAGCTCCCTGTCAATATACCGCTGCAACTATTTTTGGATTATCTTCAGCAGAACTTTATTTGCATGTGAAATTAATGATATTGTTCTGTAATTTCCACATTCTGTGCGATCACCTTTCTTTGACAAATATGGATCTCTTCCAGTCAGTTGGCCAGGTAGCTGTCTTTCAAATTTCTTGGCATAGACGAGTAAGTGCCTCCAGTATGGCATCCATTTGTTGAAACATCTCAATAGCTATTCTGTCAATTCTTGAAGCCATGTTTTTTACTAATTCCTTCAGTGCAGGATCAACTTCTTTTTTCAATACCATTGGTTCTTGATCATATGCCACCTCCTGAAATGTATGAACACTGATCAATTCTTTTTGGTACAGTGACTTTGTGTATTCCTTCCATCTTCTTTTGATGTTTCCTGCATCATTCAATATTTGCCCATAGACTCTTTCAACATTGCAACTTGAGGCTTGAAATATTCTTCAGTTCTTTCAGCTTGAAAAATGCCGTGTGTGTTCTTCCCTTTTTGTTTTCTAATTCCAGGTCTTTGCATATTTCATTATGATAACTGACTTCATCTTCTTAAGCTGCTCTTTGAAATTTTCTGTTCAACTCTTTTATCTTGAGTTTTGACTATACGCCCTGTGATCTCTTTAGTGCAACATATAGCTCTCAATTCCTCACCACTGATTCTAAACTCTCTGAATGAGAAATTCCAACAGCATAGTGCATAAGGCATTTGACTATTAAACAGAAAGCTGGAGGTTCAAACCCACCAGCTACTCCTCAGAAGATGGGGCAATCTACTTCTGTAGTGATACCGCCTCGGAAACCCAAGGACGGGTCCTATGAGTCAGATCTGACTCGACAGCAGTGAATTTGTTTTTGTTTTTTTTTTGGTAAAGTTATAGGACTTCCTTTTCTCTTACGTATGTGATAAGTATGGACCAGAATGATATAAACCTAATAGACAGAAAGCTAATTCAAGACATTATCAGAACTGTTTCAGTAAATCACTAAAAGCAGAGGAGTAAGCTTCAGATTCTGCCAAAAAATGGCCCCCAGGAGCACAAAAAAAAAGACAGAAAATATAAAACCATTCAGAGTATTTTTACCCTGCTAGGTGTTAGAAACCACTGATTCTTTGTGATGGAATTCTTCAGAACAGGGGAGGCCTTGGTGAAAGCTGGATGGAAAGCCCTGGAAGGGACAATCCGGAGACATATAAACCTTGCAGCCAGCATGGTGGTGGTCCAGGTTTACCAAGCAGATCTGAAATACTAGTTAGAAACACAGACCCAAAAAA